GGCAGGAATCGATTGGTACATGTTTCAAGTCGCTAAGTGGTCTGGTTGCCGAGATATGGGCCAAAAACTGCATTTTTTTCGAGTTTTTTTTGCTTTTCCGGGAAATACATGAAAGAAACCCGGAATTTTTATGGCCTATGCTCATCCTCGTAACTTGCTTAACATAATTGCTTTTGTAACTAGTCATCGATATTGCTTCGTTGAGGAGGAGATACGACTTAAAGCCCGGACACACATCCATACATTCATCCATCCATTCCCAGAAATGACGAGTTAATAAACGCAATTCTCCAGAATGGAAATTGCGCTAAAAATGTGCTTTTTTAGATTTAGGACCGTAAAAATAATAGAAAATAAAAAACTTAATTTAAATTTAATACTTTTAGAATCAATGCTATAAAAGTTGCAGATCCAGAGAACTTGAAAATAATGTGTTGAGTTTAAGCCTACATTTCTATTTATTTTCATCAAGCCTAAGTTATAACCTGATGTTTCACTTTCGTAAGACAAACATTGATTGGCTGTACAGGAACTCCGTGATCGATTTCTGACTTTATAGTATTTTTGTTTACAAAACTTTGCAGATCAAGTTTTTAAATAACAATGCAAATTTAAATCCCATGGCCTAGTTTTTCTTTTTTTAGCTTACAATGTGTACAATAAAATTTATGGCGGCCTATCGAATAGCAGGATGCCATTGTTTATGTCGCCATTACACGTGAAATTGTTTTTGCTTTTTTTTTTTAATTTTATTTAATTACCGAAAATATTAAAAACATCAAATACATCCAATCTTTAGTAAAGTCCGAAAAAAAACCAGACATACAGGATTTTATAACTATATTAATTGTAATTACGCCATGTATGATTTTTAAATTAATTTATGGGCCTCTCAAATACTTTTGAGACTTTTCTCGCTGGCGTCCATTAATTTGGCACATTGAGAATTTACAAGCTCTTTACGAAAATATTCATACTGTAGAAGTTCTATCATGAAGTTTGGCATATCTTGGTTCTTTCCAGCACTAAAGATACTTGAGATAGTTAATACAATTTGTGTTTTTGAAGATGTTACGTTGGGCTAAAAATTTAAATAATTGGGATTTGCTAGACACTGGACAAACTCAAGCTCAATTTAAGAACGGGTTCTCTGTTGATCCTCAGTTTCACCAAAACGCTTCTCTTTTCTATTCATTTTTACTGCAATGTTTTTTCATTGTTTATACGACTATTGATTTTACGGTTCTCCGAGTATCAACAAGACGTTGTTTTGTTTATTTCTGGCATTAAAACCCGTTTGAGGACATTATTCTTATATGTTGAGCTACGCACTGGATCATCCGGCTAAAACATCTATAACTACTGAAAAAAAGAAAATTAAATAAGTATGCAAACATATAATATATAGGTTTTAAGGTAAGAAAATAAATCTTCCTTCATCTCTTTAGTAAAAGTATTTGTCGCTTGTCAAATCACTTACATATTTTAGCAACTTCATTCGATTATGTCCCCTTATGTTTACAGGTTACCATCACACATCACCCGTCATTAATTCCAATCTGTTGTGTTACTACAAATGTTCTACTTCTCAGAGGCGTATCCAGGTTTTCGTTGTAGGGGGAGCGAAAAGAGCAAAAAAAGGCGTTCTTTATACGTGTATTATATATATATATAATTACTAGCTGTATGTCATTACTTCGCTATGATGTAAAATAAATTGACCTTGTCAAAATTTCCCCACCACTACGCCGTTTGCTCATAAGTAAATTTAAATAGAGGTGCCACATCAGTTGTATTTGTTTCTGTATTGTAATTTTTAAAAAAATTATTCACACGATTCAAACTGTATATATAAAGTAATTATGTGTGAAGTTCTATGTATAACATTTTCTAATTTAATTATTTGTAAGCAAATATATTATACAGTTGCCTTATACTTTACACCCCTCTTGCCAAGTGGTACTACCCGTAGAGGTTTTTTAAACATTGCATTGCATCGTAATGGTTATTTTTAGAATGGCAAACTGTTGCAGCTGTTAATACGTGTTGTAAACGTAGACACTACTAGACTAGTACAATAATGCTTAATCGCTGCATGAAAAGAAATCTTGTGATTTACATAGATGTGCCGACCAAAAATATTTTTTTAACAAATATCATTGTTTAAAACTTTGAGTTTAAAAAGTTTCCAAAAAGGCGCCACTTTGCTGAAAATGGCCAGCTCCCCCTGCTCCCCCCCCCCCCCCTGCGTACGCTACTGTATCACTGATGTATGGTGCTAAATTTAGGTATAAAATAGATTAAAAATTAATTAATCGCATTCTATAAATAAACATTTTGATCAATTTCGGATGTATTGAATACTTAGTATACATGTTTTAATTTCAGGTGCAATAATGTAGCCCGCTAAATTTGCTCATCATTTGTGTCTTTCTCAACTGTCACTATAGAAAGGGAAATAATTCAGACATTCGATTACATCTCATGCAGAGATTTTGCGATGTCGCCTTTAGGCGCCAGACCTATGACACTAGTGAAGAGATACATTTAAAAAAAAAAAAATAATTACAAACTCCCCTCATAGAACTTGCAATAAGTTTTTTTATTTCTTTTCTAAAGGGGAATAACTCAAGATTAGATTAAAATTTTCATAGAAATATTAGCATAACTTAAATTGCCAAAAAACCTGTTGTGTAAACAGTGTATTTAAAACGTTAACATCTTTAAATCATAAGCGAAATACTTTTCGCACCTGACCGAAAATACGAAAGATGATGTAGAGTTAACGTGTTTCTGCGAACTCGGTATTATAAGGAATACTTTGTTTAACACGGTACCTTAACTTAGGGAATCAAGCCTAGATTTGAACCTTAGACTTTTGGCTCATCAGTGGGCTCTAGGCCGTACCATTGTCCAGCTTTTATATTTAATCAGATAACAACGAAATAACAAATTGACGAAAATTTTTGTATTGCAGTCATAAACATAGACCTTTTAGTAATAGGAATGGCTAGTAGTTAGTGCACATATTTGAGTTTAGATATCAGTTGCAATGGCTACTTTGAGAAATTATCCAAGCCACAAGGCTTCATCAAATACAGTCACAAATGTAAAATAAACAACACTCTTCAAAATATGGCACAACAGCTTGTAAGTGGCAGGAAGTGGGTTTTTTTTAGGAGAAAAAAAATGATGACTTGACCTTTACGTCACGGTGTGATTGTTATGTGTGTGTGTGTGTGTGTGTGTGTGTCTGTGTGTGTCTGTGTGTATGCACGTAGGCCAAGGCGATTTGCCCAAGTACTGAATATAATTGATGAGTTTAGTCGGTGCAGAATATAAGGAGAAGGGAATATTTCTTTCTTATAGAGATGTTAAGCATTTTAAATAATAATGAGGGCAGAAGGTATCTTCGAGTTATTGTATGTATATTTGCTAAAATTTATCTTAGATCTGTCTCAGATATCTTTTTAGTCTAGGCTATACAAGTTATTTAAAACTGTGATATACTGGCTAAAGTTGTTATTTCACTAAGTTATCTGGTATCCAAATTTTTTGTTGTTGTTTATTTTGCTAGCTTTGTGTTTATTATAAGTGGAAAAGACCCTTTAAACATCAGTTGTCGCTTGTTCAGAAACTAAATTCCCCTTGTTTCATAGATCTGCCTGGGCAAGATGTCTATTAAATAGACAGAGTACTTATGCTACCCCAATCGCTCAGAGAACAAACTGACTAGCCGGTTCAAAGCATCGTGCTGGGCATTAACTGCAAGTAATGAAACACGAAACAGCCCCGCTGGAAATTTGAAAGAGAAATCTCTTCAATGTGTGGTCTCTAGGCCACTACCGGGGGAGTGCAAATCTCCATCTGTTAAACACTGGGTTTGGTGGCTTCACGTGCTTATTGGCTCACGTCCGCCTGTCACCCCCAGAAAGGAAACAATCCCCTGGCTTTTGCTCTACGTGAGTAGCCATCAAATGACCGGTGTATGACAGATCTACGTGAGTAGCCATCAAATGACCGCTGTATGACAGATCTACGTGAGTAGCCATCAAATGACCGGTGTATGACAGATCTACGTGAGTAGCCATCAAATGACCGGTGTATGACAGATCTACGTGAGTAGCCATCAAATGACCGGTGTATGACAGATCTACGTGAGTAGCCATCAAATGACTGGTGTATGACAGATCTACGTGAGTAGCCATCAAATGACCGCTGTATGACAGATCTACGTGAGTAGCCATCAAATGACCGGTGTATGACAGATCTACGTGAGTAGCCATCAAATAACCGGTATATGACAGATTTACGTGAGTAGCCATCAAATGACTGGTGTATGACAGATCTACGTGAGTAGCCATCAAATGACCGGTGTATGACAGATCTACGTGAGTAGCCATCAAATGACTGGTGTATGACAGATCTACGTGAGTAGCCATCAAATGACCGGTGTATGACAGATCTACGTGAGTAGCCATCAAATGACCGGTGTATGACAGATCTACGTGAGTAGCCATCAAATGACCGGTGTATGACAGATCTACGTGAGTAGCCATCAAATGACTGGTGTATGACAGATCTACGTGAGTAGCCATCAAATGACCGGTGTATGACAGATCTACGTGAGTAGCCATCAAATGACCGGTGTATGACAAATCTACGTGAGTAGCCATCAAATGACTGGTGTATGACAGATCTACGTGAGTAGCCATCAAATGACCGGTGTATGACAGATCTACGTGAGTAGCATTCAAATGACCGGTGTATGACAGATCTACGTGAGTAGCCATCAAATGACCGGTGTATGACAGATCTACGTGAGTAGCCATCAAATGACCGGTGTATGACAGATCTACGTGAGTAGCCATCAAATGACCGGTGTATGACAGATCTACGTGAGTAGCCATCAAATGACCGGTGTATGACAGATCTACGTGAGTAGCCATCAAATGACCGGTGTATGACAGATCTAGTCATCGGATGAGTTCGTGTCGGCACTATACAAGAGTCATCGGTCTTTGTTTCCGAGGGTCAGATCGTAATTTGATGAAGTCTATGAGGACAATAATTCACACAAGAGAAGTTTTTAAAGCTTTATTTAGATAAAAATGTATCAGTCTGTCCGTTTGTCCGTCCGACCGTGTGTTGTTTGTTGTCTGTCCGTGTCTCTCACTGTCTCTGTATGAGGCAATCTTGTAACTCAATCTTAGCCTACTAAGAATCAAATGACTGATGAAAAATGGGATGCACATAGCTAACACGAAAGTTTCGAGTTCGAATCGTGTTAAGGCCAGTCGAACGTCCCTGAGTTCACTCAGCTCCGTTGGGTCCCTAACTCATGTTGGGGAAAGTAAAGGCAGCTGGGCATAAAGCTGACCACATTATGTCTTCATATCTCGAGATCACAGAAATAAGTGACCTCTACTTAACCTGCCTAAACGCCTCAACTTTCCCTAATTCAGGTACATTAGAGCTGGATGGACAAAGGGACGTCCTACGTATTTGAAAAAATTCCAGGAAATATTTTAATGAGTGCTCTCCCATTCGAGCACACCGTCTTAACATTGAGTGTATGAATACATTTGATTCACAATTTACAAAAAAAATTCAGTTACAAACATTACTTTTAAAAAAAAAAGAAATGCATAAGTTTATGATCACATTTTGTTGACCCCCCTCCTCGTCAAAAGTCTAACCCCTCCCCCCCCATCCTTGTGGAGTGACGTCCTTTATGGTCGACTTATTTATTAAGTTAAATTATCCGTATGCTACTTATTTCTTTAGGGCTAAGCACTAAAGAAAAAACCAGATTAAAATAGCGGGCAGGAAACTACAAAGGTGAAATAAAAATGAAGATGACTCCTGAGATCACGTCTTTAATCAGAAACTACCCGGCATTTCGTGAGGCGCAAACGAATAGCGTAGTGTGTTTCTAATGTCTTCAAGGTTGGGAATGATTGAAAGATAGAGACTCACTCAGATACTGCTGTCAGGTTTTGTCTGGTGTAATCATTACATATGGCGGTGTAATAGTTATATAGGACAGTGTCTAGATTATATGACGTTGGAATGATTTCTTAGAATATTTGATGATAAAATAGCACAGTGTAATGAATATATAGGACATTGTAATGATTACATAGGACAGTGTAATGATTGCATGCGACAAGTAAAGATTTTAGAGGACGGTACAATAATTTTTTTTTATTTGTATGTGCTTTAAAAGCTTTGACCTTTATAAAATTTTCGCTTTTGCCGTTTTTGTTCGCTTTATCTAATAATCTCGCTTTTTGGTGTGAATTCTTGTTGTTAATTACTTTTTTAGTTTATTTAGTTTTTCAATACGTTATCAGTTTTTCCAAAATGAGTAAATTCATTTCAGATCAAGGTGATAAAATGACATAAACAAACAAAAACTCACCCCCCCCCCCACCATCCCATTTTTTAAAACTATTGTTTTGAAATTATTTCGGTTCTTTCGTGTTGTCTATGCATACCATGTTTTTAAAGAAACTTTGCTCTAATACAGATACCGCTATAAAATACAAGCTCACAATAATCAATATCTATTTGTCAGTGATCAAAGACCAAAAAGTGTTGTGATGTTTTAAAGTGGTCCATTAACCAGCTTAGCTCAGCTTCAACGTATGAGATTAACCTGTCTTAGTGTTGGTTATCTGCTTAAGCCACAGATAAGGGCTGATCAGGTCCATACCCTGTTTGACCTTGACCTAGAAACTATCTGGGCTGGTTGAGTTCGATTTCTAGACGAAGAAATGCGCTCGTCTGTACTGCGCGGCGTGCGAAATGTGACGTGTGACGTGTGACGAGCGAGATGTGACGTGATGTGATGCGTCACGTGTAACGTGTGAAGTGTGACATGTGACGTATGACGTGTGACATAGAACGTGTGACATGTGACGTATGACGTGCGACATGTGACGTGTGACGTCTGACATGTGTCGTGTGACGTGCGACTTGTCACGTGCGACATGTAATATGTGACATGTGACGTGTGACGTGTAACATTTGACGTGCGACATGTTTTGTATGACGTGCGACATGTGACGTGTGATGTGCGACATGTGACGTGTGACATGTGATATGTGACGTGTGGCGTGTGATGTGCGACATGTAATATGTGACATGTGATGTGTGACGTGTGACATGTGACGTGCGACATGAAATATGTGACATGTGACGTGTGACGTGTAACATTTGACGTGCGACATGTTTTGTATAACGTGCGGCATGGGACGTGTGACATGTGACGTGTGACATAGAACGTGTGACATGTGACGTATGACGTGCGACATGTGACGTGCGACATGTAATATGTGACATGTGACATGGAACGTGTGACGTGCGACATGTGACGTGTGACGTGCAACATGTGACGTGTGACGTGCGACATGTTACGTATGACGTGCGGCATGTGACGTGCGACATGTAATATGTGACATGTGACGTGTGACGTGTGACACGTGACGTGCGACATGTTTTGTATAACGTGCGGCATGGGACGTGTGACATGAGACGTGTGACATAGAACGTGTGACATGTGACGTATGACGTGCGACATGTGACGTGTGACGTGCGACATGTGACGTGTGACGTGCGATATGTGCCGTGAGACATGTGACGTGTGACGTGTGACGTGTGACGTGCGATATGTAACGTGTGACGTGCGACATGTGACGTGTGACGTGTGACGTGTGACGCGCGACATGTGATGTTTGACGTCTGACATGTGACGTGTGACGTGTGACATGTGACGTGCGACATGTAACGTTTGACGTGTGACATGTGACGTGCGACATGTGACCTGTGACATGTGACGTGCGACATGTGACATGTGACATGTGACGTGCAACATGTTTTGTATAACGTGCGGCATGTGACGTGTGACGTGTGACATGTGACGTGTGACATAGAACGTGTGACATGTGACGTATGACGTGCGACATGTGACGTGTGACGTGCGACATGTGACGTGTGACGTGGGACATTTGACGGCGATTCTCTCTAGTCGAAGATTTACGCCGTCCACAATAAAAAAAGATTCATGCTCACCGTTTTAACAAATCATCACAAAAAAATAACGCAAATCTCACCCGCCCCCCCCCCTCCCCCCCTCCAGGCGAAAACACTGTGTTTTAACCTCAATAATTTTTACAGTCCGAGCCCAAGACACACGGGGAAGATGAAGTAGAGTTCATCTGTTTCAATAACTTCGAGTTAGCTACCCATCAAAACTGGGTGGACTCAAAGATGTCCTACGAACTCGAGCCCGGAATCCGAACTGGAAACTTTTGGGTTAGCAGTCTAGCGCTCTACCGCTCAGCCTTATAGACTACCCAATAAACTTTAACCAAAATTATATATTATTACATATATCCTAACAATATCTAAATACTATGGTTTTAATATATTCCAGGAAAGGGATGCAAGATGCTATAGGATGATATAATGAGACTGCCGCCATCACTGGTAAAGCAATCACTAGTTTGCGTTTCGACGGTGGCATAGATGATTTACTAGAGGCAGAATTTTTTTTCTGAATGGAGATCTATGGGGATAAAATCACTTGATGTCGAATAATGGCATCGGCTCATATATATATATATATATATATATATATATATATATATATATATATTTTTTTTTTTTTTTTTTTTTTTTTTTTACTTTTTCCAATTAAATGTATAACTGTTGGACTAATTACATGGCTCAGCACAGATTCACAACGCAATAGACGCAATCAGACACCAAAATGGGAGAGGGGCGACAACTAGTGCACACTTTTACGAACATAATTGCTCTGTAGCACTACAATATTTGATGATCTGATTGTCTATAGAACAAGAGATGTTCGGTTTTGAGAAACCATATATTTATTTTACGGACGTATGCGAACTTAGGTGGATGAGAAAAGTGTAAGTATCATTATGTTAAATTCACTAATGGATTAACCTGAAGGGGGTTAAAATTCACAAAGCAAATAGCAATTAGGGATTAACCTTAAGAGGGTTAAAATTCAAGAAGTATAACAATAAAGGGATTAACCTTAAGAGGGTTAAAATTTACAAAGTATCAGAATCAGATTAAAGGGATTAATCTCAAGGGGACAGTCTCATCCTGACCACATTTTTTTAAAAACCTGAAATGCAAGTGTGGCATTAAATGGTGATTAAATAAACTGTACACTAAATAAGTAAAAGGGCAATTTTCTTTTTTCCTTTTTCGGTGAAGTGGGTTAAGGGGTAGGCCTACAGGCTTATCAATAGAGCTGACATAAAAATTGGGTAAAAGAAGAATATAAATATTATAAACAGCATGGCAGATACATAGCATAAAAAGAGACACAAACGTATACGTTCTTCTCTTTCAAACAGCAGTCCTCCTAAATTTATATTTTTTAAACATTTAAAAAAAAACAACAATAATAATAATTATTACAACGTGTGTGTGTGTGTGTATGTGTGTGTGTGTGTGTGTGTATGTGAATACATTAGTTTAAAGAATCATTCAGGGGGTTTAGCAGCAACAAAATTTATGCACAAGTGATAACTTTGATGAATATATATATATATATATATATATATATATATATATATATATATATATATATATATATATATATATGTGTGTGTGTGTGTGTGTGTATGTGCGTCTGTGTGTATATTTTTTTTTTTTTTTTTTTTTTTTTTTTTTTTTTGTGCCTCAGACATGTAATTTACAGCGTCAGTTGTGTGTGTTCGCTTTAGTATTACAGTTTTCATCACCGGCTTGTGAGGACTGACACAGATTTACAATAGTAATATTTCTTTCTTACTTGTAGCCTGCTTTCATTCATTTAAGATGGTTTACTTATACAAAGATCTAATACAAAACGTCTAAATATAAAGATAAAATAAAAATTAAAAACCAACCTGAAACTGAAAATGCAAATGTGTAATTAAATGATGATTCAAGGGATTTTTTTTCCATCAGCGTGGTGGGCTGAGGGGACGAGAAGGGGGGGAGAGGGTTGAATTTGTTTGTTTTTTTTAAAATAGAGCTGAAATGAATTTGGGATTACAGAGAATTAAAATGATACAAATTTTAAGCAATCGGAAAAGTTATGTTATTACAACGAGACACGTAAAAGCAAACACTCTTCCCTTTCAAACATCTATATCTATACAGTCCTCAATTAGTTTTTTTTTTCCTTTTTTTATTATTTTTTTTTTTTATTATTATTAATTCAATTGTTTTAAACCTTTAAATCAGTAATAATAATTTATTTGATAGATTTTACACAGCATCAAAGACATGAACATCAATTGCATATATAATAATCAAATGGAGAAAATTAAATGGCATAAGAACTAGACTAAAATAAGGTGTGCAAACTAGGTTTCTCTTGACTGCTTAGTTTACTGTGCTCTGTCCTTAGCTGAGGAGTCAAAAGTTCACATTGTAGACAGAAATAGAAACCACCGTGGGAGAAGTGTCTCTGTAATACACATTACTGATCTATCATTCCAAAACTTTCCATGACATAAAATTGACCCTTGGCAAAGAGGGCACGCTACCTTGAAAAATCCGCCAGTCCGGTTGAGTGGAGGGAAGTGTGTGTGTGGGGGGGGGGGGGGGGGGGTGAGGTGTGTATCTCTTTCTACCATTCAGGTTGTGCACTTTTAAAAACCTGGGAAACAGAAGACTGTTCTAATGTTAAATTACTTGGGGGCTGATCGAGTGATGTTTTGCTTGAGACTGTCGATATTAATTATGCATCTAGTTTATTTGCTTCTTCTGTAGTTCCAATTTTAGTTTCCTGTAAAAGTAGGATGTCAATATTGTGTTTATTTATTATGTTGTTTATATAATGTGTTTTGTCCCTAGCCCCCCTGATGTTCAATGTTGCCAGAGTTAGCATGAATTATTTGGGGTTTTCTTTCGAACATCTGTTTCTGGAGGGCTGGATGGTGGTGGTCTTTTAACGCCAAACTTTCCAGCCGTTGGTTTGCTATCCCGTTGGGCCCTGGTCACGAACCTTTGAGGTGGCTTTACTATAGGTAATTGATTTTTACTTGAACTGATTGCTTGACTATATGACAGTTGACCTGATACCTTTGTTGCTGACATACTTTGTGAGCTTTTAATTTCCTTTAGCGGTTTCGTTATGTTTTCTGAACTAGAGTTATCTTGAAGAATATGAGTTATTGTTTCGTCGACAGCCTCCAAATTTTCGTGATTCCCATCTTTTTGAGACCCGGTTACTATGGAATTCCTGGTTGCTATTGTCTCCATGGCTTCGGCCTCTATGGTGGTTTCTGTTACGCTTTCGTTAACTTGCTGCGGTGCTACAGTAGTATGATGTGCTTCAGTTTGGCCATCTACTTCAAAGGCATCTTGTACCTCTCTGTGCCTTGCTTCTCTAAGCATTTTATTTTGTCTTTCTCCGTCAACATCATAACTGTCCCAATGCTTTAAGAAATTTCTATTGTTACTTAGATGCTCCCTAACTTCTTCTTTATCATTTGCATCCCAAGGCTCAATTGCCCTGTACTGTCCGTCTACTAGCTGGACGCCGTCAAGAGCGCGAGTCCTCAAATGCTCACACATTTTAGGCAGGTGCCTGTCTGTGTTGCAGTGGCAACATTGCATCCTCCTCCCATTGAGGATTATAAGGACTCTGCTTTCTTTGTTGGCCTCATTTGTAAGTATAATATAGTGTGGGACACTCTCCACATCTTCTTTTTCCAGAGAGATGGTGAATTGGACCACATTTGATTGGTCTATTCTCTTAAATGTTGGTGTTGAGTCCTGAATACTTATAGATTTCAGAATCGTCATTATATCATCGTCACTTGTCTTGGAAGGCAGCCATTTCAGCATGCCCCTTTGCCCAGATTTATCGGCGTGGGTTATTGATATTCTCTGCACTCTGTATCTGGATGTTACTCCAGGTGGCAAATCTCTGTGAAATTCTTTTAGGTGCATTTTCTCATATAGTTCCTTTGATCTAATGGTGACATACCATTTACGCAGTGTCCCATAGTTATACAGACCTTCAAATTCAGCTGGTGATAGGCTACATAACATACATAGCTCTCTTTTTAGTTCGTCAGCTGTGAGAGTAGCTAAAGAAAAACCCTCTTCTATGAAAATCTCTAGAGTTTTTGGTGCATGTCCTGCCATGCCAAACTTAGGCAGGAATAGCCGTTTGATGTATTTTTCCGACATAGTTGTGCGTGAGGCCCACCCGGGACCAGGCAACATACACAAGAAATAAAAAAGAAAAAAGTACTTACAATGTATAAAATGTGAAGAAAAAAAAAATAACACACACACAATGTTCCAAATGGAAATACACACGAGTTTAAATAAGTAGAGATGAAATTAATCCAAAGTCACTGGTTGTATTTTACAGATTAAATTGTTTTCGAACATAGATCTTTACAAATATATTGCACACAGCAATTCCTTATCAGGATAATATATAATAGATTCAGATATTATACGAGAAAGCAAAAAGTATTTTAACTACAGTTGCTACACTTCTAGATATAACGCCATTTTCTATAAAACTCAAATAAAATCACCACAATTAGCCATGGATCACAACAAATATATCTAATATATAAAGCTCAGTTCTGTAACGTGTGGCAAAAAAAAAGTTTGTCGTTGACAGTTCTATGGATTTAAGTGTTAGATTTTTTATCGTGCTCATAGTCTAAATTTACGAGTCAAAAAATTACCATTGAAAGTCTTTAAAAACAATTTTCATTCTATTTACTTAGAAGAATAATTTTCAATTATGAACACGACATAA